TCTGAACAAGTGTCAACTGAACGCTACAGTTTGTCTGCTTACCCCCATGGCTGCAAAGACAATTGCAAAGTTGTCAGAACTGTAGTCCATCACATCCTTGGACTTCTGCACCAGGCCGGCCTGACGACAGATCTGAGCAGCGATCTGAGAAAACACAGTCAAGACTTTAGGTACATGTTGGATGTCAACTCAAAGAACTAACATGCATGTGTGGGGGAATGTGAATAATACGTTTGCCTTCTTGCCTTGCATATTTTCATTTTATTTTAGGAATAAATATTGAAGGCATTATCTTCATTACAAACCAATGGGCTTGGAGTCAGTTTACTATTCCAATACTTACTTGTAGATCAATGTATTGTAATAAGTTAACAATGAAACACATTTAGATTATCAGTAGATGATTAAAGTATTCTATAAATACCAAACCACTGAGTAGATTTACTCAGGTACTGTACCCATGCACATTGCACAATTTTGAGATAGTTGTACTTTACTTGAGCTAGTTTGTACTCCTACTCCACTACATGTATTTAATACCTTTAGTGACTTTACAGATGTGGATGAATGATGTGAAATATAATCAAGTGTTAAATCAGACTTTAGTTCCACCTGGAGTAAATTCACAAGCTACCCTGCAGTATACAAAGTCATTCAACCTAGCTGCACCTTTACCAGCTTTGAGAACACTTTCATGATCAATCATTATAAAACATATCATACATATTATTCTGAAATGGACCAATCTGCACAATGACTACTTTTACTGTCGCTACTTTAAGTGTACTTGGATGCTTATACTTTAGCAGGACTTTTACTTGTAACAGAGTATTATACTCTACTTTCACTTAAGTACAAGATCTGGGTACTTCTGACATCTCTGACCACAACCCAATGCTTTAGTGAAACTAATAACTGGTGCATAGTGAAGAGCTGGTGTTATACTTGATGAATTTGTGGATTGAAAGAGGAATTTCACGCTCATCACATGAAGTCATGGCTGCAGGGTTGATCTGCCTGAACTCTGCCTGACCTCTGCATGCACCCTGAGTCCAGCACCCTGAGTCCAGCACCTGGCCCATAGAGGAGAGCAGCATGCATGACCTCTCTGACATGTGCTTAATGAAACCAATGATACAAGTTTTCACACCATCCCATGGCATGCAAGCGGCTCATCATTAGCGCGACACCAAACGGCCCTGCAGTAGGAAACTTTGGGTTTTTTAAGTGGGATTGACTGCCGCTCATAACACAAAAACTTGTAAAAGTGTAGTTGCAAGCTCAGAGTCCTATTGTGAAGCCGGGAGATTTTGAGTACACCAAAGTTTTATGTTAGGAATGTATAGTAGGGTCACCAGCACATAGAAACTGCTGGATGCTCACTTGCATACATTGGGCAATTTTCACAATTAGCACAAGTTACATCAATTACCATTAATTACCATAATAGCCTATGTGGACAATTGTATAAAAAAAAAGGCTTGGCCTGAATGGGGGTTATTCCGAGTCCATTTCAGACATTTTCAGAATCTGAATCAGAACATATCTGGTTTTAACCAGATAGTGGCCATATCTGTTCTCCCTGTGGGCGGATTTTGACAAATTTGTGGTCGATTTGGAAGATTTAGGGGACTCTGGATCATTTGGATTGGACAGATTGCTTATTTATTTGCAAGACAATTGTCCAAAGTAGAGATACAAATGTTGATCTTGTGCTCTCTATATCCAATGGTCACAAACCTACTCGAAAACAGCCCACAGAGGGTACAGATATGTCCACTTTCTGGTGAAAACTTTGATCGTGAATAAATGAGAAATGGATTCAGCATTCTCAATAACCACTCCAAAATTGTCCAATTCAGCAAAGTCCTGAAGAATAACCGTTTAAACATTTTTTAAATATATTTTTCTCTTTACTTTCTTAAAAGCTTACAGTGTTTTCAGGCTTCGCTACATTTTAACAATACATTTGTCTCGGAGAAGAAAACAGTAAAACCCCAAATATACTTATTTTAAAAAGAAATCATCCAATGAGCTAATAAATGCTTATTTATTTAACTTAGAATAACATCGGGATTTCAAATAAAAGCTGTCATAACTCAAACATAGTGCATATCAAAACAACTACAAAAAAACCTGAAAAAAATACCATACCGACAGTCGCTCAGCATTACATGTACCGGTAGTCCCTGAGCATTGATGTGTACAGGACTGAACGAGTGAAACAGAAATACATCGAGCCCAGCCAATGGGCCACAACTCAAGAAGCCTCCTTTGTGAAGGCGTGCTTCAGTAGATTAAATCAATCAATATTGGGGTTTCTTCGCCATTGTTTGTTTTTTTGCCATGAAAAGATTTCCAAAGCTGTCCTACTTAAACTAGCGTATGGTGCCAAACAAAATGTGTTTATCTGGAAAGTATGACCTGATCTCATTGGCTTTCTGCTGGACCACAATAAAGCTTTGTGCAGCAAACTGTACGTCACCAAGATGGAAACAGATGCTGGAGCAGAAGCCAGAGAAATACAGGCACAGCTGCTTTGAAGCACACATCCCATAAACACAGGTTATTTCTTCTTTGTGTAATTAATGTTTCACTTCTTTAAATATGGCCACTCACTAGGAAATTCTGAATTTACCTGAAATGCTTTTAAACATGATATTTTAGTTTGTAAAAAAAAACTATCATATACTTTATGGTAAAACTGAGTAATATATTTCCATTGTGAGACATGAAAACCCTAAGGAGGAAGCAGAAGTCCAATTGTTGTCATGTGACACTGGGAGACGGCTGACCCACGTGAAGGAGCTGAGTCATCAATGTTAAGCATTTCCACTGAGACAGCCACAAAAATAAAAACTAAATGATATGAAAGCTTTTATCTTTAGATTTTGGCCCTCCAAGTGGAAACATTGAAACATTTATTTCCATTTGAGCATGGAGGTTCATTCTTGACCTTGGGAACATGTATGCATGCATAGTTCCAGGAATATTAGAAGAAGCTTAGTTTACTGTCAGTTAGCCAGTAGCTTAATAAATGATTATGAAGTGAACACATGAAAAAAAGGATTGTATTTACATTTGAGCAAATGAGGCATTGAGTTAGTTGAGGGGTTATCTTGTGGCAATCTACTGCCGATTATGCTGTCTTCATGTCGACTATAATGCATGCTCAGAGCAGTGGAGAGGGAGAGGGCTGTTTGATGGATTGCTGCTTGGAGTTGTTAGACTGTTGAAAGCCACTACACTTTGACATTTCCTGGGATTTGATTCCATAGTGGCAGAGTGATAACGACATACAGCTACATTTGGCCAGTTATCCAGAGTATGAATAGAAATAGCTAACAACAAATCACACAGGAGCTCCAGGTAAAGATTGCATTATTACTATTCTCATAGTATTGCACTCTTGTGAAAATGTTGGAACTGAGATTGACAGTGAAAAAAGAAAAGAGTCCACATCGATGCTGGAGAATCGTCTATTTTAACCCCCACACATTCTTCTTTGTCATAACCTGGCCGCCTGGATATATATAGGATCAGTTGTGAAATTCTTACAGCGGATAATGCAGCCTGCAGCACAAAGAGCTCCAGAGGGAAGCCGAGCCACTTCACATTCCATTATGTTTATAATATTATATATGTATTATTATATGTATTTTTTACATTACCTTAAAAATATGTGCTTTTATTAAAAAAGGCATTTGATGAGGGATTTAGTTTTTCTTGTTATATTTATACTCTATGTAAAAACATACATTTGTAATTTGAACTAAATACATGAATGGACAAATCACGTATTAAATAAAAGCTGAACTGCTGTACTTCTGATAGTACTTAAAGTCATGCAGAAATGATTCCCAGGAAGCTGGTAATAAGGCACTGGTGGGTGTGATCCTGAAGCTGATGAAATAAAGCTGTGGTCTCACCTCGTTGTGGGGCAGCCCAGCAGCAGAGAAGATGGGGATCTTCTGTCCTCGGGCGATGCTGTTCATGCCATCGATGGCCGAGATGCCCGTCTGGATCATCTCCTCGGGGTAGATACGGCACTGAGGGTTGATGGGCTGACCTGGAAAACACAGAAACGGATCAATTACACCAATCTCTCTGAGGAATCCTGTTCAGAATTAGGAGATTTCAGTTCAATGAATACAATATTTATAACAAATCGTTAACTGCAACTTGTGTTGAAAGAAAACAGTTGGAAAGGTCCTGGGAGGAAGCTTTGGAGGTGGCAGTTATAATCTGAGTAGTTGTAGAGCAACTGTGAAATGAATAAGTATGAAACTCTAAAATTCTAATATAAAGACCAAATCAGACTAAAAGTAGACAACTCAAATGCTATAAGACACATTGCTGTACAGTGGCCAATCTTTTATTTATTTTTATATATATATATATATATATACACATATATATATACACACACAATTGCACAGACAGCAGTTAGTAAGATTTGATTTCAGTAGCCACTTGTCTGGAAATACCGAAGACCAGAAACGGTTTTGAAAACTTTTGTCACGTAGTGATCGTCTTCTCAATAGAACATCTTTGATAATGATTATCAAAGATGTTCTATTGAGAAGACGATCACTACGTGACAAAAGTTTTCAAAACCGTTTCTGGTCTTCGGTATTTCCAGACAAGTGGCTACTGAAANACTCTCCTTTTAAACTGTTTTTTATTTGTTACTGTCCTATAGTACACATTGGAATGATTTCTTCTATATTAAATAGATAAAGGTGTGCTTTCCCTAGCTCTCTCTCTCTCTCTCTTCTCTCTCTCTCTCTCTCTCTCTCTCTCTCTCTCTCTCGAGCTAGCTCTCTCTAGCTAGCTCTCGCTCGCTCGCTCTAGCTAGCTCTCTCTCTCGTTCGCTCTCTCTCTCTCTAGCTAACTCTCTCGCTCACGCTCACAGAGGCTGTGTGCTCTTCCGTGGCGATGGCGGCTTGCGTTAAAAAATAATAAACATATTTGTAAAGTGAGGGGACACAAACGGGATTTCGGAAAGTGGGAGGGACGTGTCCCCCGTGTCGCCAGGGGAGATTAAGCCTGTGTGCGTCAAGTGCAATAAATAAATATGCAAGTTGCAACACACACACAGTAAAGCTCTGGCCCTCATGTGCTGTATATAGGCTGGAACGATAGGCTGTTCAATGGGGCTGATGTGTTGTGTAGAATCTGCCAGAAGGAAAGGTCACACTCCTTATGAAGCGGTGAGCTGCTGCTCCACATTGCTTTTCTTCCCGCCTGCAACGCTGGTCCCGCAGGTCAAGCAAGAACGTGATTGGTCGATATTCATTGTGGGGAGGAGGGGTGTTAGATAGATATAGAGTTCACTATGATTTAGGTTTCCTTTATGCATAGGGGAGATTCTTTTAATTACATTTCCTTTTTTGTTTTGTGTATTTTATACATTTTTGGATTTGCTTGGCGAGCTATTTTTAGAACATGCCCGGCGGGCTTCTCACGTTGCCCCTGCGGGCGACTAAGTACCCGCGGGCACCGTGTTGGCTACCCCTGTGCTACATATATTGTCTTTTTAATTAAATTCTAACAATAACATCTTAGTTCTAATACAATCTGACTGAACTTTTGGAGAAGTGACAGCCTACTTTAGATTTTGTCCCCCACCTGTTACATTTTGCTTTATGAAGGGGTATCTCCTGGCCTGTCCCACAGGGGAGGCTACAAAGACCAAGAACTCGCTTAACATGCATATGGTGAATTTGGAAGAACATTGAAACCCTTCCTTCAAATCATGTTATCTGGCTTTGCTTCTTACCCCAGACAATTGTTTTATTGAACCAATGGAAGTGTAGAGAGCAGTCTGATCCTGACCTGCAGACTTTGCCGGAACATTTTGGGGCAAGTACAGCTTTGAACGTGTAATGCTACGCTAAACCTTCAACTGTTGATGAAAAAGTGACCATGACAACTGTAGAATGAATGCAAGGATAAGAATTCATTTTATCATGTTGGTTTATTGTGCCTCTGTTGCATGATGTGTGTGTCTGTGTGAGGAGCGTGAAGGCTGGTTTAAGGCAATTAGCATTCCCATGTCCAGTGGGGCTGTGGGAATCCCTTGAAGTAGACGCTAAGACGTGATTGTCAGGCTGCTCATCACAGCAGCCACTGCTTTGTAGCGCTAATTTATTATCAGAACGATGATGCGCCCCATCTTCATCCCAGCTTTGACCCGCCTCCCCTCGAGTTCCCCCCTCTTTCAGCTTGGAAATTGAATTGTGTTGGAATGCTCTGTGCCTCTTTTCTCTGGCACTTGAATGGGCTCTTTAGTATTTCACACCAAGGTGTCCTTCAGGGTGCGAGGTCAGGCTACCAAAACAGCTTCTAGTGGCGGATTAGGACCAATTAACATCTTTGTACACAAAGGGCTCTGGCAGCTGAACAGGCTGCAGGGTGACCCACACTGCCGTTGCATGCCAAGCCAGGGGGCTGCGGCCCTTGAGCTGAAGTAGCAAAAGAGGGGTGGAGAAAGTTTTCCAAACCTAATGGGAAATGTTGCTACTTCACACCTCATGGCCGTAGAGCCCATTGAGCTATCGTTATCTTGTGAAATGAGAAAGGAAACCACTTTTTTTTATCATCACAGTTCTACATAAGAGGGCACCATGGAAATGTTCTTTGATATAACCGTGGGCTAACATATAGGTCCAGGGTTAGATCTTTAATCCTTCTAAAACCACCCATTCAATTGACACACTTCAGACTTTGTGCAAGTAAATACATTTGTCTGTTACATTTAGGAAACAAAAATACTTGTTGTCTTGAAAGTGATTATTACCGTAATAACAATCATGCAGTGTTATATACAGTGTCTCAAAATGCAATGTTGGTGGCATTTATAAAAAAAACACAATGTTGTAAAAAATAATATGGAATTTCTATAATAACAGTTTTTTCTAATTGGCACGTTGGTTTTGGAAATCTGTCTCTGCCTTTTAAACTGCAATTCCTTTTTACTGAATTTGCCAATGTATGCACTCATACAATTGTAGTCGCAGTTTGTAATATTTCCTAAAAGGTTATGTTAAAATGTGATGGAATTTCAGAAAAAATAGTTTTGTAAATGGCATCTTTGGTTCTGGTGAGATGCCTTGGCCTGAGAAATCTATCATCTATCGTCTTGTCTGTAAGCACGGGGACAATCGGAGAGTCACATTATTAAAAAGAGGTTTGTATGGGCTATACATTAGTATGCAATGCAAACGACAAATTACAATTGTATTCTTTATCCAGATGTTTGATTATTTTTGGTTTGTGCAGTGGTGCGGTTGGAATCGTGCATCTTGAATAGTGCAGGAAAGAAGCCACAGACGTTATGTATATTTTAGATCCATACTGATAAAAACGGATCCTTTGAGGAAAGATGTATATGCTATTGTAACCTAATACAATGTTAGTACAATTATTAAAGCATGTTCTCCTTGAATAACTTGCTTCCTGCAAGGTCTTGTGAAACAAACAGGAACATGTGTATAAGAACTTGAGTCATTCTCCAGAACGAGGGCCCTGAGATAAAGGAAGGCTGTTTAGAGTAAAACCCATTTTATTTTTTACTATAACATTTATTTGTGGTGCCCTTGGTTTTCACACTTTAACCTTTTGTCAATGCTCTCCTATACACACACACACACACACACACACACACACACACTGTCTGGGAAATGGCTGCCATACTGTAGCATTGACAGGTGATTTTGTTGGCCTCTGCCTAAATAGTGGCATAGTGGATGAACCCTGTTGAGCTTTGCTGCTTTATGTTCGTACCAGTCTGCTCTCATTTCCTTATGCCTTTGATATTGGCCCAGAGATTGACGGTTCGCACATAAAGAGGAACACCAGACCATGATGGATAGTCTGGTGGAAACAATGGCGGTATGCAGATGTGCACAAGTATAGTGATGGGGGGGGGGGTAAATTGTCCTGCATGTCAGCAGAGTGAATGTTGCTGCTCGATTCAGTGAGAAACATGTTACGTCTTCACTCCTCTTTGTCTCTACCAAGGCTCTTCTGTTATCACTCCGATAATCATTAGAGCTGTCTTTTTGTTCTACACTGAACCTGAACGTAGCTCTACACTTAACCACGTAGTGGACCTGTAGCCATGACATGGTAGCACACTTTCATTATCGAGATCCGATTAGCTGCTCTTTCATATCAGTTCCACTCAACAAGGGCTGCTACAGGTGTGCTGCAGTCTGACAGGTATACGTTCGCTCACTTAGGAGCACACAAGGTTTGTTATGCTATTGCTCAGAGGCATCTGAAGGAATCTAAAAACATTGTTTGTGTGGAGTATGGTTTAATATTAGCTGACTTGAGTGTGGCTGAGAACGATTCGGGACCATATTGGAAAAAAGGAAAAGCAGAGAACGGTTAATGTGGGGTGGAATCGTCATCAAATATATAAAAGCTTCATGATATTGGATTTGTTTTAATCAAAACCCAATACACAAAATAACATCAGTCGACAGCATTATTTTATTTGAAAAAGAAAGACGACAACTATTTTTGATTTAAAAAAAAACAAAAAAAACAACCTTTTACAGAAATAAGACCTAGATATGAGCAGGACCTAACACTCTTACACTGGTCAGTGCTCTCGGGATTAACTCTAACACTGTCTCATCATTCTGCTATGTGAAATGTCAGTGTGTGTGTGTGTGTGCAAAACTAGGGACTAACAAAACACATTTAATAAAATATATAATAAGGAAAATAATGATTTCAAGTTTACACTGTACCTCCAATCTCACTGTACAGTGTATCTGGATGTGTCAAATGTAATATTTTAATGTCATTCAAAGAAGAGTAACAAATAAATAGTTTGCTGTGAATTGTTTTGGATTCTTGCAGGATGTTGAGAAAGCACTTTTCACGAATGTATGAACAACCTATTGAATTTAGCTTAAAAATGATTACAGATACTGCTAAACTTCCTAATAATGGACCAATCACTGAGCGCTATGCATTTGTTGACAAATGACCTCTACGTCCAGTGATGTGTGTGTGTGCTGGAGCTTTAATCACAAATGGAGTATCAAATTGCTGTTTCATCTTATTGATGATAAAATAAATACACAGCAGCTGAAGTTCAGGTCCATGTGTGAGGTTTTTCGTGACATATTTCTGTAAGCGAACGTCCTTTCAGTTCTTTTTGCTGCCGTTATTGTGGGTTAATGTTGAGTAAGGCCACAGGTTATTTCCACTTCCCCTGATCAATAATGACCCTTCAATTAGTCTTCTATTATTGTGAGGCTCAGAACTAACCACATGTCTGTGTAGTTGATCTTTCAATATGTGAATTTCATGCATTTTTCCTGACATTTGCCTGCCTTTGACATTTGGGTCTGAAAGTGCATGAAACTGTTTAAATCTCACCGTGAAAGGTCAGCTTGTGATTATTAACACGGGCCGGTTGTAACCACGTCTACTTATTCTTAAGTGGATCGTGGCTTTCAGCTGCTCAAAGGGGTGAATAATGTCAGTATTACCTGCCTTATTTTCCTGTCTTGTGGCCTCTCGAAAAGAATGAATAATGAACTCTGTTGTCTTCTCTCCTTCAGCCTACTCCACAGTGTCCGGTGTGAACGGACCGCTGGTGATCCTGGATAATGTGAAGGTGAGGCTTTTATTCAATTTTATAGCCTCCTGGGACCCAGCCCATTGAAAATGTCCACTGTAATGGACATTTTGTTAACATGCATCTCCTTTTGAGCTACTCTATCAATCCCTAATGTACTGTACAGAGGACATCCTGGTCTTTCCAGTGATATGCCATTGGTTAAAATTGCATGCTGGGAAGTTCCTCTTTCTTTTCACCAAAAATGGCTGGCATACCAAAAACAACATCTCATAGAAGCAGGAGGAGTCAAAGTCAAATAATGTTGAATAATTGTAATTTTCCATGAAACATCATATATGTGTTTATTACATGTGACCTCGCGAGACTACATACCCTATTTCATACTATAAAGCCGCGCCTTCTTTCCCTTTTTTCGACCCGCGGCTTATATAACGGTGCGGGCTAATCTATGGATTCTTTACAGCTAACGCGCAACTAGGGGACCTCCTAAATCTATGGATTTTACAGGTTACAGTCACCACCTTTAACTTATGGCTTATGGCGGCCTTCCGCGCCACCCACCTTTACGGCGGGGGCTCCGCGGAAACGCTGGGGCCCGAAAAGAGTGCGACGTAGCGCGTAAAGTGGGAACACCGGCGTGGTACGAGAACAGAACCGAGAGAAGACAGACAGACGACAGACAGACAGACAGACATTACTCGGGAGAGGTGCGAGACAGTTTGTGCTGTACCATGGTTTTGAAAAACACTGCTGTAGATCCACTACCGTACGTGCGCTGGGGAGCGAACCGTTAAGTTTGAAAGTGAAAAGTTGTGTGTCTGAATGCTTAGTGAACCAGCACAGTTTCACAGCACATAATGTTCTGTTGCTACTATGCACTATAATGTAACACTTGAATTAAATTAGCAAATATGCAAACTTGTTGTTTGAAAGTTAATAAATGGGAGGCTTCCTCCAGTTATCTCTTTCCCGACAAATTCCCTCTGGCACTCCGAACCCTTACAGCGGCTTATAGTCCAGTGCGGCTTATATATATACACATCATTCAATTTAGCTGCTGCGGCTTATATTCAGGTGCGCCTTATAGTCCGAAAATTACGGTAATTAGTTCTGAAAGCAATTAAATAATTCAAGTTTTCAAATAACAGCCCTTTTATAAATGTCCATCCTAGTGGACGTCAGGACCATCTTCATGGACTTAATGACTCAATATTGTTGCAGGAGACGGAACTGAAGCAGACATTTTCTGTACCAGATAGTTCAGGGAGATTAAGACTTTGAGCTCTCATATGATGAGAGAGATGAGGATTTTACACCTGGGATAGAAGAGGGTCAAGAAGAAGGAGGGGGAAGATGCAGGAGGCTCCATGAGCGCTCAGATACAGACAGAGAGACAGATGGGGACGAGCTGGAAAGACATGGCCCTCTGTGGGCCAAGAGTATAGCACGTATATCTTATTGTTGTTTTTATTTTAAGTGGAGCCATGAAAAATGAGAATTGCCTCAGGAATGCAAGCTTTGTTTCTATGAGCATGGTCAAATGGAGACCACATCTATAAAACTAGTCGAGATGACCCTGCAGCCCGTGCCGACTGGAGTCAACGAGGTACTTTTCCCAGTACATTGACTACAAAGTCTTTGAAGATCTGGAAAGATTCACCGAAAACCAAACTAGTTTTTTAGTGATTCTTTTTAGTCATGATTTAGTTTATTACTACTACTGGCCTACAACTGTTAAAATGTATTAAAGAGGGCCAATGTACTACTATATAATATAATCATGATGCATTTGCAGATGTACTCTTGTTTTAAGTATATTAGGGTAGTTTTCAGGCAGTTGTTGTGCAATACTGTGACTTGGCACATTCCCTGTATATTACGTTACATTTCATTTGGCTGATGCTTTTATCCAAAGCGACTTATAATAAGTGCAAAAACCATAGAGATTCAAACACTGAACAACACGGGAAGTGCACATACAGCATATTCACTTTAAGCTAGTCACACCATTGTAAGTGCTGGTGAATCAGTTACGAGGCTAACTCTGGCAGTGATGGAGTAACAACAAGCCGATGGGTACAGTGCACATGCCGGAGGGTATGCTTTAACCAAGACCTGGATGTAGGGAGGGGCTGTATTTTTGCACAAAGCTACCAGTTTAAACTGCACAGCTCTTTCACTTCAAATTCTGTTATACTTCAAAAAAAATGTCTTCAGAGTATTTGTCATTTCTTTTTCTTACTTTTTATTTTGTATATTTATATTTCTTTAAACATTTTATGTTAATATTTGCTGCTTTCTTTTTTACAAATGAATTATTCTTCCAGTGCTTATGTGTTCTGACTCTGTGCTGATCTCCGGACTAGTTCCCCAGATACGCTGAGATCGTTCACCTGACCCTGCCGGACGGCACCAAGAGGAGCGGGCAGGTTCTGGAGGTGATCGGGAGCAAGGCCGTGGTCCAGGTGAGGAACACAATCCAGATGTGCCGGCTGGTGTTTGAATGAATCCACATCAAATTCAAACTTCATTTGTCCTGGGGGAAGGTCCATTGCAACAGTTGCAATGCAAAGTGGAAGGAGAACAACAATAATGAGCAAATTCTAAATGTATTATATACCAGATAACAGGATGTATCACAAAATATAAACAGGCCAGTTTCGAGTAATAATGTGTGTCTTGTAGGATGTTGAAGTGAAAAGCATCAATCTGCTTGGGCTGTACCTTGCATTACTGCGTGACTACATCAGCCCAGAGAACTCTGTTGTCTTAGTGGCTGATGTTAACATTCCTCCAGATACATTTGCATGAAATGCCCTACTGTTTTTATTAAATGGATCCTTAATCCTTAAAAAGTTGGCCTCAAAATGACGTTACAAAATGTTGGTGTACACAAATTCAGAGAAACGGTACATCTGAAAACTGCTCTCTACGTTTCAACTCTGCTCAATGATCACACACTGATGCTCAACTTCAAGTTTCAAGTGAAGCAACAATCAGCAAACATATTTCTCAGTGCAGGAGGACTGTGTCTTCAGTCGGTCTCAATGTGTACTGTAGGTCAAATGATTCAAGAAATCACAAAATTATTGTTTTGGCTCTACTAAAGTCACTGAATTGTTCAACCTAATCTGAGACATGAAAAAGGACATCTCATCAAATAATTGGATTTGTCTTCAACTAAAACTTTAAAGGATAGCAATAACACTACAACTAACTTTGTATTTTGTATATATATATATATATAGTAAAGTATTTTAGTTGAACAGTTTTGTATCTGAACCGTGCGTTTGTTTGTTCAGGTGTTTGAGGGAACATCAGGTATCGATGCCAAGAAGACGGCCTGTGAGTTCACTGGTGACATCCTGCGCACCCCCGTGTCAGAGGACATGCTCGGTATGATCAACCTGATTTCTTATTTAATCCTTTTAAAGTAATTAATGTTGTGATCAGCTGCACAGTACCCTTTCATTCTTCTGTGTTTGCACCACAAAGATGTGGAGTGTACTTTAAAGTGTTATGCTGCAATTTTCCCTCAATATGCTTATTTTTACTTATGTTTTTCATTGTACCCATATTTCTGAATATTCCTGAACGCTCAATCATTGTCATTATCTCAGTACAGAACAAGGTTAAACATATTTCAACAGCAGTAGAAAGTAAACCTGCTTTTGTTTCTGAAGTATCATCAATCATGTCCATGAAATTATAATTACTTGTACTTGTTACTTGTAGACAAGAGCCATCAGAGCCACTCTGATGTGTTTAGAGTTTGATACAAAGCAGAATATATCAGATGTGGATGGAAGCGTCATCTAATGAATTTCATTCTATCCGGTTCTCCGTCATTATGCTTGAATTCAGCCCTACTGATAAACCAAATAGTAGTTATTTATCGAATAAAAGACTATCTACTTGGCTCAAAAAGACTCTTCCTCTTTCAGGGCGTGTGTTCAACGGCTCAGGCAAACCCATCGACCGCGGGCCCACCGTCCTGGCTGAGGACTACCTGGACATCATGGGTACGACCCCCCCCCGTCCCCCCCGTCTTCAAAATGCTCTGAGCTGGACGGATGTCTTAACAAGAGAGCTGCACCTTCATACAAAAATGAAATAAAAAGAAAATGCTGTTTAAATGAGCAAATGTCCCATATCAATCAATCAATCAATCAATGTTGATTTATATAGCCCAATATCACAAATGTTACATTTGTCTCAGTGGACAGTTTGAAATAGAGAATGAAATGGGCAAATCACTATTTTCACTTATAGATAATAGAATATAGATTTCAGGTAACTTCCCATGAGAATAAGGTTAAATCTAAATTCCTGACTACTTGTGTTCGTTCTCCTGTCAAATCTGTTTTGGTACACGGCGAAATGTGACAGTAACACTGAATCATGAAAAGTGACAAGTAGGGGAATTTGGCTACACATTTCTGGCTACATTATTAATCCTGTTTACTGAATAATATACAATGTTTGCCAAATTTAGACCATTTTATTCAGGCTGTTTTTATGCAGCAAAAGCTTCCACGTTTTGTAACAAAAAAAAAAAAAAAAAAACTAAAAGTATTGAAATATGAATTTGGTAACTGCACTAAAACTTGGGTATCGTAAATCTTCAAATACACATTGGGACCTTGCTAGCCACAGGGAGCCTGCGAACACTACAGAGTATTATATATATTAATGCTGTCAAAATTATTGCGTTAACGGCGGTGATTAATTTTTTGAATTAATTGCGTTAAAATATTTAACGCATGTGCAGAATGGACCGCCCCGTACATCCCACCAGTGGCAGCGCCAGGCTATGGCTGGGGTAGGCTACACCCATACCAAGAAATGGCTTAGCCGCACCATGATAAATGATGTTAAAGTAAGCAAAATAAAGTCCGCCAACTCGCGCCGACAATTGCACAGACAGCAGTTAAGATTGATTTCAGTAGCCACTTGTCTGGAAATACCGAAGACCAGAAACGGTTTTGAAAACTTTTGTCACGTAGTGATCGTCTTCTCAATAGAACATCTTTGATAATGTCTTCTGGCCAATCAGAATCAAGATAACGGCGTGGTGTTGTTGCAGGAAGTCCCGACGGAGAATACTTTTGCTGCAGTACATCTCTATATACATCGATACAACATTACGTGTTGATACAAATCAACACGTAATGAAATAAGACCCCACGGTTTGATGAGTGATAGGTGTGTGGGCTGTCTTTCATTTTGACACACAGAACAATGTTATAATAAACATACTGACTGTATGTTAAATGGATATATCCGCCTTCTTTCATTTATCTTTCCATTCCCACAACAATATACATAAAGAAATGGCATATTTTGGACATAGTTCGAATGGTGATTAATCATGATTAATTAATTTTTAAACTCTGATTAATCTGATTAAAAAATGTAATCGTTTGAAAGCCCTAAATATAAATTAAAACATTATTTTTCTAAGTTTTCTTTATTGTTGCATATGTGAAACAGGTAGGGGAAAAAAACTAGGANTCATTCCAATGTGTACTATAGGACAGTAACAAATAAAAAACAGTTTAAAAGGAGAGTGATTAGTAAAATATGCATAAAGAAAAAGAAAGAATGCTAACTAGGTAACATAAGATAAGAATGAACAAGTTGAAATGATTTGTTATTGGTTGTGATCATATTCTAAAGATGTTTGGATTATTGAAAAGTAAACAGCTCCCTTTTATCTGAGTGTTGAGAGCTGTATCCATACATTCATGTTGTGCTCAAATTGCACCAGATTGATGCTTTTCACTTCAACATTTAAAAACACATCTTCCCGGGGGAGCATGCCACCGGACCCCCCTGGAGGAGGTGAGGACCCTCCTAGAGGAGATGAGGACCACCCTAGATGAGGTGAGGTCCACCCTAGAGGAGGTGAGGCCCGTCCTAGAGGAGGTGAGGTCCACCCCCAAATAAAGCAGGTTAAAATAATTAAATTGCATATGTTCTTTTAGTAAACACTGGAAACGGGTCCCACAGACCCAAACACACAAAGGTTAAAGGTCAGCATATCATACATGTTACAATGTTCTAAATATATACACTGCAAAAAACAA